GGACCGCAGCGCTGGGAAAGGTTTAATGATTCCTTAAGGAATGGGAACATGCAAACCAAATGAGCTTGGAGTGGCTTAAATCTCAATGGGGGAGTAAATGGCTGCAGTTTAACAGATCCGAGCAGCCCAGCCCGGCCGCTGCTGACAGCGATTCAAATGCGAGCAGATTGGACGGCACTGAATTAAACAACAGCGCTTGTTCAAATATTAGGAAAGATAAGGGAAAAAAAAACCTCTTGGAGAAACAAATCCTGCTGTGCTGGATGTGCTCCACGGACTGACTAATGCGGGGTTTTGTCCTAGCACCAAATGCCTGAGAAAGGTGCGAGGTGTGGACACCTCATCTCCCCCGGGACCGGGGTGTGAATGGTTAAGGGCAACCCCATAAATATGTAAGAATTGGATAGGCTAAAGTGAAAGATCAGAGCTCAACTTCATCCGATTGAGCAGACAACGCCGTTTTAATGGCCGAGTTTTCAATTTAATCCATACAATTTATTGGACGCCAGCAGGGAAGAGGAGCCCAGATTCCAAGGACAGCTCACTAAAATCATGTCCTGCTTTAGGAATGGCGTGTTCTCAGCAGCTGCACGTCCTGACTGGCAGCTGCAGCTCTGCAGGGAGCTGCGAGGTGGCAGCGGCCGTGCAGGGCAATCCACGGGCTCACAGGAGCATTTGCAGGTATTGTGGTTGGCCTGGCCAGCGCTAATAATCATTGCCATTCATAAGCATGAAAGAGTCAAGTATTCCCACCCCCCCACTCCTGCCATTTGAAAAGTATCTGACCTAATTATTACTATCCCTGTTGTGTAAATTCAGCACTTTGTCAGGCTGAATAAATGTACATTAGCCTTAACATGAGTGAAACAAGTTTAAACAATGAAGGCAGCTTTGTAAAGCTCCCTCGCTTTTTAACTTATTTGACACCACACTAAAGAGCCCATTTAGACTAAAGAGTTCAGCACATTTCGGGACCCATTAAATGCCCAGGTTGAGACTAGATATTCTCCTTTTTCTTTTTTTAATTTGTCCTCCCTAGTTGCTAAAGTCAGCAGAATTGAGCAATAAGCTGCTTTGCATTTCTTTAGCTTTGTAGGCAGAAAGCTACACCCATCCCGGCCAGCACAGCAAGGCAGGGCAAACCTCACTTATCACTGAGACCAAGGCATTCCTTGGAATTAGTTTTAATTAAAAAAAAATTGCTTTTAATTAAGCAAAAAAAAAAAAAAAAAGAAAGAAAGAAAAGGAAACTCATGGCACAAAAATGTGATATTCATGACTGTTAGGAAAACTCACGCTGTCAAATTGTTTCTATTTTAGGCTAACAACATAGAATTTAGAGTCAGGGCAGGCTATCATAGAATTATGGAATTATTATGGTTGGAAAAGAGCTCCAGGATCATCAGGTCCAAGCTGTGACTGATCCCACCTTGTTCCCAGCCCAGAGCTCTGAGAGCCTTGGACACCTCCAGGGATGGGGACTCCAAACCTCCCTGGGCAGTGCCAGGGCCTGACCACCCTTTCCATGGGGAAATTCCTGCTGAGTGACAAACTCCAAGTCTATCCAGCTGTTGTCACATTTAGGACATGATCTGGAAGAAGGAGAAAATTTACCCCATCTTGGCTGCAGGACAAATGCAGATCAGCTCCAAAAGAGCAAAAAGGGCTGAAAAACCAGAGCATCATCATCCTCCCTGTTCCCTGCCCTGCTCCATCATTGAGGAAATTTCTGAAAGCAGCAGGAAAAAAGAGGTAAACGAGAGGAAACACGGGAAAAACTGGATAGAAGAAGTAGCAGTGCAGTCAGAGCTGAACATTTCTGCAAGGGGATGGGGTTGTTCTTCACCAGTGAGCTCCTGACGTTTGAGAAAACCTCTCACAGATACCACACAAAGGTTGGGTTCTGCCGGATGTGTCACAAAGAGCTGGCAGGGAAACATTTTCAAAAGAGAATTTCATTTTACTCTAAGCCATAATGAAACCAGTTCTTGCCCAAATGAGATCTGTGGTCAGTCTGTAAATTGAATTCTGTCACTGACCTGTAAGAGATACTTGAATCCACATGAAGTTCAGTGCCTGGCAAAGCCACAGCTCTGACCCTGGCAGCAGCACCTCCCCAGGATCTGGGCACTTGGATGGATATTTAGATTAAAATCCTGCTTTATAGGCAGAGCTGCAGATGGATTTGGATTCCACCCCTCTTACTCATTTTGAAGCTTGGTTAAGTTTGAAGCACAGAAAAGACCCAACTCAATTATAATTTCTAGCTGTCAGGAAGGAATTCTATCAGCTCCATCCTCCAGAAGGAAATCCACACTGTCTAGCAGTAATCAGTTCCATTTGTGACCCTCCCAACAAAACCCTTTTTGTCTGTGATTTGTATTCAGCTTAGGATACGCTGATTTCAGACCCTCTGTGGATTGTAATGTCTAAACAGCCTTTTTATTTTTAAATGCAACCAAGAAACTATTTGGCAGGGTCTGAAGCTGAAGCAAAATCTCCTGACTGCACTGGGCTCTGGGCTCCCAGCAAGGCAGGACACTCACAGACAACTCTGTTTGCTCAGTTTAGCTAAGAATAGGACATTAGTAAGAAATATTTTAATCTAACAAGCAGCATGTTTTGAAGGGAACTTTCAGCTTTTCTGGCCAATTTGAGTGGCATGTGATGATCTCATGGTGTGGAGCTGGAGAACAAATGCAGCTGCAGCTCTGACCACTGATGATGGGTGTGGGAACTCCCTCAGGTTTTGGGATTCAGAGGCACCAATGTGGAAAGCACTGAACCCACCCCATGCCAGCTCCAGGATGATGATTTAGGGCACAGAACTTTCCAGCCCTTCCCACTCGTGCACACCTGGGCCAGGTTTCACCACCGGTGTGTGAAAGAATTTGCTGCATTTCAGTCCAGTCCCCAGGTTCCACACCAAAAACCCAGCCCCAATTATACAACTGGCACTAATTGGATCCTTATTTCAGCTTTTCAGAAGAGAGGCTGAGGTGTGAACAACATGCAAACAAAACTGTCCCGTGAATTCCCCAGAACAGCCCCGTGGATGCAGTGCTGCAAGAGGCTCATGTGGCATTGAAAAAACACAGATTTCAGGTTCTAAGACTTCTGCAGTTTTCAACTTTCACCAGCATTCAAATTCACCTACATTAAAAGAAAATTAAATTGCCCTCTCCAACAAAAAGCAAACCACAATAAAGCAAACATCCTGCAGCAAACTATTCCCTTGAATCCATTAAAAATTGCCAAGTCAACATTCCAGTGCCCACTGCCCAGCCCGGGCTGCCAACAGCACAGGTGGCACTTTGGGCTCCTGTTTGCCACCAGCTGTGGCAAGAACTGCATCACAGGCCAGGAATATTTCATATTCCAACCATATTTCACATGCCAACAATTTATCACATCCCTTCCCAGCTGGAGCTGTGTAAAGGGAAGGAAAAGCCCCACTGAAAACGCTTCCATAAACCATAAATGTTTTAAGTTTAACCAGGTGGGGATGGTGGAATATTGGACACAACCCTGGCAGAGAGGCAGAGCATGAGTTGATGAAGCCAGGGCTACAGGAAGAATCTATATATTAACCAATTTATTAGCCAGGAATTTGTTTTAATAGATGAGCAGATCCAAAGAAAAAAGGAGTCACCATCATGGCCCAGTGGGCAGGAAAATCTGGGACCAACAGCTTGGACTCTGCCTGATTTATCACTAATAAAGGGAATATTGTGTTTCTCTGTGTATTTTTTAGCAAAGTAATAACTACATCAACAACATTAAATTAATTCCCTTTAGGATTTATAACTGCTGTAAGTAATAAGAAGAAAAGTGCAGTCCTATAAAACACCAATAGGATTTTAATATGTATTGTCAAACAGAAATAAACTGCAAATAAAAGCCCTACTATGGGACACCTTTAGTGCAGAAATTTCATTATCTGTAAGCAACAAATAATAAAGGATCATAATGAAAAGAATACAGAAGAAGGAGAAGAAAGCTGATCCCTAGCCATGCATACAAAATGTGCCTGAATGCTTCCTGGAAGCTCCAGCAAACCTCAAACTGTTTGAAGTGCTCACATCTCTGGAGAACAGAAATTCTTACCACCATATAAATTCTACAGCAAGCCAATTTTTAATTATATCTATCAAAATAATAATAAAATCCCAGCAGTTTAATTCAAGCTGTTTGAATCATAGAGACCACCTATGCAAATATCAACACAGCATTTGAATCTCCAGGCAACTACTGCCAATTATAAATGGGGACACTTCTAAAAAGAAATTACAAGGATAATTAATCATTTTCACACACAAAGGTAACAAGGTAACATCATGCAGTGGTTTGAAAAGCCTCCTGCTTTCTGCATTTCTATTCTGGTTAGTTTGTGCCAAGATCAGAAAAAGCAGATTTCAATTTTAAAAGAGGGAGAGAGGAAAGGGAAAAACTTCCAGCCTTCCCTCTGGTCATTCCATGTGGGTATTATGGGATTCAAACATTAAAAAGGGAATATTCTGCTGTTAAAAACAGGCTACAACAATATGGACAAGAATGTTGCACAAACATTTTCATGACTGTGCTCTCATCTACTCTGTCAAAAGGTAAATGATTTGAAAATACCTGCAGAACCTTTTGGAAATTTATAGTTCTACTGAAGACCCAGTTAGCTTGACAAAAACAAGGCATTATTTCTCTTTTTGCCGTCAGAAAGTTACAGAGGGTTTGAATTCTGTAGTAATACACTGAAAACTGTAATTACAGTGGTGGCACAAATCATCAGAGGGGGAGAGCAGGAACCTCTCCCTCCTCCTCCTCCTCCTGAGGACAACAACATCCAAAAAGGAGAATTTGTCTGCAAAAATTCCAACATTCCAGAAGGAAACCTGCTGCTACAGCAAAGACTGTGCTGGTGTGACACAGGTTCAGCAGCCACGAAGAGCTCTATAACCAACTTACAAAGAGGGGACAGGCAGGCAGGTGAGAGGAGCACGGCACTCTGTGGCAGAGCTGGCACAGAGAGGCACGGGGGAGGAAAGCAGCCACGGGGGCCTCACTGAGCCTCCTCATTGTTTCAGAAATAGTAAGCCGTGTGAGTAACCCAGTTGGAACACTCCTCCTTGGAACGTTTTGCTGAGCTGTGAGTTGTAAAAATAGATTTGTAAGCCTCAGACTTGTCGTCGCTGTCTGCAATGGATCTCTTGGTGGTGGAAGAAGCTTTATTGACTTTTCCTGGGGCTGATGGATTTCCATTCTCTGAGGGAAAAAGGAATAGAATGAAGCATGACAGCTTACAATGGATAAAGGTATTTAAATAGAGATGAAAAACAGTGCTTGAAAATTAAAATATAGTCTTTTTTCACCTCTCTCATAAATATCTCCCATAACTGGACTCAACAGCTTTTAGAAATCACACTCAAAATACATTTAGAAATCTTGAGAGAGGAATTCTGTAAATCTTTTGCACTGCAATTCAGTACTGACAACATTTATTCCTGCAAGTGAAAAATAACTCTGAGCTCTGGTCTTTAGCAACACCAAAGCCCCCAGCAGCCTGCAGTATTGTTTGGAAATCAGCTCCCAAATGCCAGAAGCTGAATTTGTGCCACACCTTTCCCCAGGGAATTCTGTTCCTTTTATTCCTTCCAAAGTTATGCCCAACAACAATGCCCTGCATCATTTTATGTCTGTAGTGGGGAAATGCCCATCCTCTGTTTCTGATACTGTTTTTTATCAGTGTATTTTATCTACTGTTACATAAAAATATCTTTTTGTTGTTGTTGTTTTTTGCTGTATCATCTTCCAAGGTGCAGGATGGTGTTTGAAAAAGCCAAGTCTCTGGTGTAGAGAAATGAACACAGAAACTCAAAATCCTCAGTGAAACTCAGGCACAGGGGCTCCCAAGAATTGGGTGTGCCACCCCAAATCCTCACAGAACTGTGTGTGTAACCCCAAATCCTCACAGAATTGTGTGTAACCCCAAATCCTCACAGAATTGTGTGTGCCACCCCAAATCCTCACAGAATTTTGTGCTCTGTCCCAAACCCTCACAGAACTGTGTGTGCCCAACAGAAACAATTTCAAAAGGCACTTTTTTTTTTTTTACACCCTCAGCAAATAAAAGATTCATGAATATAATTAGAACTACGAGGCTGCTCAACATCCAGGAGCAATTCTCATCATCTGGGATGAAATATTTTTAGAAGTCTCTCCTGTATAAAAGCAGACAGTAGAGGGCAGGTCAGGCATTGCTGATGGAATTTCAGCTTCTCCCACTTCATCCATGGATCATCATTCTCAGATTCATCAAATTATTCTGATTTTTTAATGTACAGGATTTAATTCTTCCCACAGAAACCTCAGACTGACCTTAAAAATGTACCCATTCTGTTTGAAAATATCAGTATGGGGACATTAAATAGTAGAATTAATATTAAATGAAGAGAAGGCACCATTCTTTGGATTTAAAGGCTGCCAAGTTTACTCAAAGCTTTAAGGCTGCTGTAGGTTCTTCAGTGCATCCTAAATTTCTGTTCCAGTGTTCCCAAGGACACACAGAAAATTAGCAGGTAAAACAGATGAATAAAAGTTAAATAATTGAAATTACAAGTTAAATAATTTTTTTAACAAAATTCATCCAAATAAAGTGCCATAACATAGTTTTTGATCAACTCTACACCAAGAAACTGCAAATTCTCCTTCACTGCCTCACAGCCAGGAAAATAAGACACACCAAACCCATGAGTGTGTAAATAAGAATCTCTAATCTCAGTAAATCAGCTTCCCAACTTGCAGCAATATTAGAATGACATAAACAAACAAATCTGGTCCCATTTTTCACATTAGGATGAGCCACCAACCTGAACTTTTGGTGAAGATAATCTGCCTGCTTTCCCCAGAGCTGGAATTGACACAATCCTTTCCATTCTTGGCTTTTGAAGGACCTGGAGAATCTAAAAATATAAATAAATAAATAAATAAATAAATAAATAAATAAATAAACAAAGAGAAAAATGAAATCCTGGCAGCTTCAAGAGTCAGAAGGTGACCCAGAATTTGGGGCTGCATTACCTGCAGGGGGCTCTTGCTGAGAAGCTGCTGCTGCTGTCTTGCTTTTCTTTGATTTCTGAAACAACACAAGCAGAAATCTGGTAATGGACTGAAAGGAGATAAAACTCCCACCTCATATTTCATAAACACACAATTGAATCCAGGTCATTTTTATTTCTTACCCAGTAGAACTCTTCCTTCCACATTTTTTGTATTATTTCTTCATGGAGAAAATAATAATCTTGAGAACCCTGCAGTTACATTAAATAAAACTGTGCAGGACAGAATTGGATTTGTCTAGGTTTAGTATTTTGGTTTGCACACTTTGAAAGGTGGGTGTGTTATTATCATGAACTGATCATCTGAACCCACACAGCAGGACAGTAAATTGCACAACACTAATAAGACACAATTAATTGTTATCAATAAAGGTGTTTTTCAATAAAAATTTCAGAAGAATCTGGAATCTGGTATCCACAAAATTTTGTTTAGTCCATTAAAAAATCCTTCCTGGGTACCTGTCAATAAAGGACCCTCTGCTGTAGGATTGCTTGGGAAGAAAAGATGCAAATAGTTAACCTGAATTTTTTAAAAGTATCTGTGCAGCAGGTTTTCCAAATTAATTTCTGTTTATACAGATTAAAAAACACAGAAAAAACAAGAAGAATCCCAATTACTGGCTTTGATTACATAAAAAGAAAGATGTATTAGAACAGCCACAAACATTATTGTCACTGGATACATTCTGAACTGTGAACATGTTTTATGACAGCTGCATAAAGAAAATAAATATATTTAATTGTGTTCTAAATCTCAGGAGAAGCCCCGCTGTGAAGCAAAGGATGAGTGAGGGATAAAATGGCCCAGCAAATGCTGCTGAGCCCAGGAGGGGGAGGCAGAGGATCAGCTGTGCCTGCAATCCCGGATCCGTGGAATGCTTTGGGGGGGAAGGAGCTCCAAGGGTTCCAAAGGGGCTCATCCCATTCCAAACCTTCCAGAGACCAGGTCCTGCCCAGCCTGGCCTTCAGGCACCTGGAAAACCTCAGTGCAGGGGATTTCTTCCTTTTGTTAGGGGTGGATTTCCAATGATGCCTTTAGTTTGAAGTTTTCCTATTCTCCTTGGATGTGCTTTTCTGACGTGCTGGGGTGATGAAGACAAACCAGTCCTATTCTAGTTAAGAACTCAAGGACAGTTTCTCCAAACTTCAGGCCCTAGCCACAAACTACGTGGAAATGTGGAGGGTGGGTTCATGCAAAATAACCAAAACCTATAAAAGTGTAAGATTTTGTGACCAACCTCCTCCTTCCGTCTTGGAGCCATCCAGGCAGGGGCCACGACTGTGGCACTTGTATTGCTGGGGTGTGGCTTTGTAGGCCTTTCGTAGGCCTCACAATAAATACCCATTTTATTCTCCTTAACTCTGTGTGTAGCCTCTGTTCCAGCTCCTCAAGGCACCACCAAAGAAAATCACTTCCCAGAGGTTTGTAACTCCACAGATACATAAACTCACCGTGCAGAATATAGATTTCAGTAGGGGCACAGTGACAGCTGAGCTCCAATCCTTTTTTATTCTGTCCCAGCTGCCTCTTCCTGATGTTTTGTCCCATGGGGATAAAGCAAAGGAGTTTGTGCTTCCTGCCCCAAGCACAGCAGGTCCACTGAGCTCAGCAGGAAGGAGATGAGGAGGGAATGTGGACAGCAGTGCCAGCCAAGTGGGAACTGTGCTGGCATTGGGGCTGCAGCTGCCAGGCTCAGCCTGGTTCCAGCTGCAGGGACCAGCTGGGCCACCAAGGTCACCACTTGAGGCTGAGAGATTTGCAAATCCTGCCCTGTAATTCTCCACTAACCAAACCAATCTCATTTGCATGTTCCCCCAGGGCACACAGAGCCCCAGGACCAGGGCACGGTGGTGTCCTTTTGTCACCCTAAAAACCACAACTGCCCTGCACACTCAGCTACTTTGCTGTGCAGAAATTATGGGCAGCATCACCTTCCAGATTACTCCAAACGATTTAACCCAAAGCTACAGGTGCTTTGTCAGCACCTTTCTAAATAAAAAACAAGTGCAACCAACCACTCACTCATCTGCTGAGATCTGCAACAGTTCAGCAACAAATCAGAAATTTCTTTTTTTCCCCAAACTTTCAACTACCAAGTACTGAGAGGAAAAAAAAAGAAAAACCCTCTGAACAGACACCATGAAATTATCACTCTTAAGCCAGAAGCTATCAGACATGAGATGCAGAGACTGTGAAAAACAGGAAACAGAACAGCAGGATTTTTATGGAAAAACATCCTTTTGATGTATTGCCCAGGCCCCAGTGCTGCTGCACTGGCACAGATGAATAAAGCCCCTGTGATGAGAAGGAATCATATGCTCAGGAAGGAATCACTGGCAAGTAAACAAGCATTTGTTTTAAAACAAACCAGGGAAATATTTGCATGGCAAAATCAAGGGCTGAAACCTCCATCTCTAGTCTCAGATGCTGAAAACATCAGATTTATGTTCCTGAGATCCAGCACCCTGGCCTGAGTCAGCACTCAAGGTTTGCTTGCTTTGGCATCTCCAGGGAGCTCAGGGAACAGCAGCAGAGCTGACAAAATTCCCACGAGCAGAAATGTCATTTGTCAGCTCAGCAGCACAGAACAACTCCCAGCTCACAGGGCAGGGCAGCAGAGCTGCAAGGATTTGATTTCCACTGCATTTTACCTGGGCAGAGAGAAAAATGCAAAGGCCTCAACATGATGGTGGGAATTAGGGGTGCAGGAATTGCTGAGGACTGTGAGAACCACAAAACAGGAGAAATTTCCACATTCTTACAGCACCAGCACAGGAATGCACAGATGCCAACACCCTGTTCCTGGCAGAGGCCAATAAAAGACTATAAATTATAAACTCTATAAAATCAAAAAAGCGATGTTATCATCAGGAACTGCCACAAGAAACACAGGGATGATGTAGTTCAGTATTAGAATGAATTAATTTCAAGAAAACCCTCAAATATTGCTGCAAGAGCTCATTTTACCTATTTTGAGTGCACAAAGCACTTCCTGGTGCTCAGGAGAAAGTTTAGGATGTACAACTTCAAGAAGTTATTGGCCAAATACACACAAAAAACCCCATTGCTTTTCAAAGTAGTGATGAAATAAAACAGCTCACAGAGTAAATTCCTCCATCTTTATAAAGATCAGCAAATCTAAGAGCAGATTCACTGCAGACAAGAATTCTTCCAGTTTTATAAAAAAAATGTATAAAAATCTTACCTTTTCTAATTTACTTTTAAGTCTTCTTTCCTCCATCCTTTTCTTCAGAATTTCCACATCTTCTTTATTACCATTAATGACAATCACATCTTCCTCTTGAAAGGGAACACCACACTTCATGAAATAAACGACACTCTTGCCTATTTCTTTTTTCTCATTTGTTTATTTTCTGTTCATGGGTTCCTTGTTTTTCTGGCACAAATGTATTTAAAAGTATTCCTAATTAGAATCTACTCAATTTTCTGAACCCCACAGCTAAAACTCCGAAGTACTTTCTGATTTTTAATTATGAATGCATTTGATTAAAATCTAAATGCCATTCTGCTCTAGAATTTGTCTTTCAATTTAGTGAGATAAGAAACAACAACTGATAGGAGAAGTTTCCTTACACTGAGCAGGGACAACACCAAAAGTGAGACACAACACAAAAAAGTGAGACAGAAAATTTTTCTCTTCAACTCTTGGCAGGAAAACAAGAAGGTGTTTTATTCATTATTATTTTTTTTTTAAATTATCTTTTTATTTTACTGTGGGGATAAAAAGGGCTCCTAAAAGCAGAATAATTCACTACCCTTGCCTTGCTGCCTCATTAGATTGTATCACAGAGACCATACCCTTATCTGATTTATCAAACACTCCCAAGTTTCCAACTACTTTCAGAAATTAATCTGGATAATGGCTGTAATGTGCTCTGTGTACTTCCACATTTGTTTCATGGTTGAAGGCACAGATGTTTCCCTGTGCACATTTGCAATCATTGGATGTACCAGCACATTGACCATGATGTTTTCTTGTCTAAGATCTCAATTTGCTTTTTTTTTTTTTGGTTTTGGTTTCTTTTGGTTGTTTGGTTGGTTTTGGCTTTTTTGGGTTTTTTTTTTTTGTTAAATGCAGAAGCGTTTTATTAATCTGCAAGATTAATTTATAATCCTGCCTCTGCCATTACTCTTCTTTTTCCAGACAAAGGTTTAGAAAGGTTACTCCTGTATTTGCAGTAGGAATTAAACAAATGAAAGGACACATGGGCAGGACTTTGCTCAAGTGCTGAGCACAGCTTCACTCATGAACCTGAAGCCAAGTGGAGGGAGGCTGAGAGGAGAAGCAGGGCTCAGAGAGAGGCACAGGGCAGCAGGCACGACAGGATAAGTCACACACAAGAAATGGGGAATAACTCATATTTTTCCATTTCTACTCAATGAGAAATCCCAGCCTGCTGTGATCTCACACTTGGGAGTGAGAAGGCTCCAAAATCAACAATTTCAGTCTTCATTCTGAGGCTGGAGCTGGCAGCTGACTTGATTCTAAAGAAACCCCACAAATTCATTTCTAGAAGCCCCACAATTTATTTTCTAGGCTAGTTCCTAATACAGCATTTTTCAAACATATTTTGTCAGTAGCCTCTCATTTCATTAAAAGTTGCATTTTAAAAGAGCAAGCAAACCCAGGTTCTCCTCTGGAAAACTCAAGGTGGAATTGTTCAAAACTGAAAAGTATTTACAAGAAACAAGGAAATGAAGAGAAGTGTTCTTTCCATTCTCTGAAATAGAAAATTTTTTGCCATGACAACATTGGATTATGTCAGAGACCATACCCTTCAAAACCTCCTAATGAGATAAAAAGCAGAAAGAAGTTTCAGTCTTGCAAATTCAGATGTTTGTTCCTTCAGATTAATTAAGGTCTTGGGGCAGATGTTTATTTAATGATATCACAGGGTCTCCTCTGCTGTGCCTTGTTTATCTTGGGTCTTTAAATATAGTTGAAGGTGCTTGCTGTAGTTCTTAGCACCTTGAATAAAGGACATTCCTAAATCATATAGCTCTTTCTTAAAGTAAAAAATACAGGATTTTTAAAGCAGTAATGAACTCTTAATTTCAGATAATTTCCTGAATTCTAGAGTTTACAGTTTCAGCTGCCTAAGACAAGAGTTGTACATTATTTCTTGCTCTAAACTACATTGACTGATTTTTTACATAGTTCTGTGCATAACTACTGCAGTCTTAATGTAATACAAATTAACAACAGGCAAATATGTTTTCATATCTAAATGTTTACACCAGTGTTACAGTTTAATGTCTTCAGAGAAACCAAAAGGCTCTTTCCCAAATTTTAGCAGTGAATTCCTGCAGTTCTCCTGAACATGACCATAACTAGGAAATGCACAATTCCCACCAGGATATGGGACAGGGATGGCCATAACCTGAGTGTCCCTCTTAAAAAAGGGACATTTAGGAAGAGGATTGAACATCCATGGACCATCTCACTATTCATCTCCCAGCCACACAAGCTCATGTATTAAAGATTATTTTTGCTTGCCACAGTTAACTAAAACTAGTTTTAAGAGAGAGAATTTTCCAGAGGTTTAGCCATTAAAAGTTCAGGAGTTTAAGGTTTGCTGAACATGTTTTTTCACACTGTCACCCAACCAGACATGCAATGGGTCAGAGAGTAAAGGACAACTTGGGAGCAGTGGAAATTTCCCAAGTGATTCACAGAACAGGAACTTTCACTCAGGAGCTGCATCTATTTCAAAACCAGTCCAAAAAAAGCCTCAATTAACAGAGTCTCTTAAAATCACTGCTAACTTTGTACTGTCATACCTGCAGCTGTGCCTCCACTTATTTCGAGGTTTTGTTTATTTCTGACCAACACGGTATTTTTATCAGAATGTTTCCTCCCAATCACAGCTCGTTTAAGCTCAACTTTCCACTTATGAAACCCCCAAAGAACGTTTAAAAGGCTGTAGCAGCAAACACTGTGTGTGTGCAGGATGATTCAAAGCAATCTGCTGCACAGCAGGCACTGCACAGCAAAGCACACCTTTATGGCACCAGGGAACACACAGGGGTTAAAATCCCCCCGTGCACTTCTGCCCCTGCCTCATTTTACACAGATTTTTATAATTTCACAATTCTGGCGTCTGCCTTTGTTTGCCCATCTAAAAGTTACAGTTTAACGACTGGGGTCTTACACAACTTGTGGTTTATCTCAGGGTTACAAACACATACTCACCTTCCTGCTACAGGACTTTTATATTCTATTTACAGCTTTGCTTTATTATTATGTTCTGTTTCCTATCCATTACCACACAATCTGTTTTTTTCCAGCCTTTTGTATCAGTTCTTTTTTTCCTGCCTCACCAGAGCTGGACCTTTGCTTACAGAAGTGTTCAGACACATCAGCCACTCTTAAATCCCTGTTCTCCTCACCCACCAGGGCTAGACTCTATTTTGCAGAAATTCTATTCAAACCCTTCCCTTGGTATTTCCTTGGCCCATTTGAGCCCTGTTTTGCAGAAGTGGTTACATTTATAAGAGGCACTCGGATTTAATTCTTTCTCTAACCTACACCTTAATTTCTAACTTTCCCTAAGGTGCTTATCCCGAGCGAGGTCTGTGGTTCACGTTGATCTTGCATTTATTCTCCTTTCAGCTTCCAGCCACTGGAAATGCCCGGCAGCAGCAATTCCCTGCTGGAATTGTGGGCTCTGAGCTGGAAAGTTTCGGCAGGCGAATAGTTAAAGCAGGGGGAGGAGGAGGAGGAGGAGGAGGAGGAGGAGGCAGGTTGGCTGTTCCCAGTTCCCCCAGCACAGGGCACAGGGGAAGGGCACAGCGATTCTCCCAGCTCCTCCCCGATATTCCCCGCACATCCCCGGCTGTTTTTCCAGCCTTTTCCAGGCTGGGGAAGAAGTTTGCAGCGAGGCAGAGCTGAAAGGAGCGAGAATTGCTGCAGGATAAACGTGGGCAGCCCTGCAGTGGATCCAAACATTCCCCAGTAATGGTTAACCTGGGATAAGGGACACGCTCCTGCTGAAGGACAATGACACCCCGCATTTATCTTTATTATGCTGCCTTCTCCTGGCTAATTCTGCACCAGGTAAGCATTCAGCTTCTTGCTTTTCCCTTATGGAAAGCGTCAATTTTACTTCCTAATTTTACCTTCTAGTTTTACTTAGAAAACACTCAAACCTGCACTGAGGTTAGTGTTTTTTTCCCCTTCTTTACCTTATGAAACACACAGTATGATGGAAGTCATTACCACTAATTGTTTTATAAAAATGGCAGTATTTATACAACTTATTTTTTTTTACTTAAGGGTTTAAATAGCTTTCATTGTGTTTGTTTTAAATTACTATGAGGTCAAATGCACAAGGGAAAAAAAAAGTAACAGGAAAACAGGAAAAACAGCAAAGATGAAGACTGAAACTTTATATATTTTCTGTATATGTATCAGTAAGTTCTAACGCAGTGGTTTTAAATAAGAATGATTTAAATAACCGGGTTTGATGGAGAAATGTTTTTACTCAATGCATCTCAAAATCCAGAAGCAGACTCCGTATTCTGACCCCCGTTTAAACAAAAAAACCAAAGCGATGAAAAAAGCACTTAAAAGAGCTTATTTTAACATTTTTTAAGGATTTATTTAGTCTTCCCTGGTTTATAAAATGTCTGTATTAATGCCTGCATAAACACCTTTCAAACAACAACAAAAAAATCAGCTATAAAAATAAATATGAAATAAGTATTTAATGCTTTTTCAGCATCTTATTAGAAGATGAAGCATTCCCAAGCCATTTGTCGCACTAAATTACGAGGTCATACGACACAAACTTTATCTAAACTTTAATATTAGGCAAAAGCAAAGAGCACAGAGAAAACAGAATGATTGGAGGTGCAGTGATGCAGTCCTGAATGCAGTGGCAGGGAGAAGCTGCAAAAAGCAGAATGAGTTGTTAGTACAAAAAGCACAGCCAAGTGTGTGCTAATGGGGTCTCAATGAGCTGAGCTGACATTTCCCAGGCTTTGTCCAGGCATCATCATAATTCCCCTTTTCTCTAGTTTATTTTGTTAATTGAGATGCAGTATTGTAGATTTACAACAATTTTCTCTTAAGTAATATCCTTAAAAGCATCCACAGAGGTGGTTGAAAATCCCTACTTTTATTTTTTTTTCCCTAAGAATGTCACACACAGCTCGCAGGAGTTTTAAAAATTCATGCAACTTCATCCTCCAGATTTAGAAAACCTGTGCATAATGTAAGAAATGCTGAGTTTCAGAGACATTCTGCTAACAAAAAATACCTGTCATGGCACTCTTGCATAATAGGACTCAAGGGCACGATAGTCCCAGACAGGGTTATTATGGACACTGGACATTCCCCATGGGATCTCTTGCTCCTCAAGGGCAGGAGGAAATTTGGGACAATAATCCTTGCCTGCTAAACAACACATTTCCTATCCAGTGGCACTGACAGCTGCAATTTCAGCTCTAAATCTGGTCTAACACTACCAAAAAAGCCACTTTTTGCTTTCATTCCATAATACCCTCCCGAGGCTGAAAGATGTCAAATTCTGTTCTTGCAGGCCAGGCTCCATCATTCAGCTGTTCCCCATAAACATGTTAACTCTGCAGAGGAATTGCTGCCCTTACCTGGTTATGGGCTGTTTGTGTGCTTTCATGCTGCCATAAAAATACAGTTTCTAGATGTCACACAGTCCAGTAGGAAAAAATCCATTGTAAACACTTAACAGCCCGAAACAGCCCCAGAAGCTATTACTGGAAGGGTAATAAAAATTCAGGTGTATGAAACAAGCAGCTTAAAGCTTGGCTCCCTAGAACTGCAATTTGAAACATGTCCAAAGTGTATTTAAGGAAAAAAAGCTGTCAAGCATCCTCATTCTGGACAGATTCAGGGAATATTCCAAGTTGGGAGAGACCCACAAGGATCACTGAGTTCAACTCCCAAGTAAATTATCTGTACAGGGACTGAACCCATGATCTTGGTGTTAAGATGTTTTATGTTTAATCAGATATAAAATCCCAAATATTTTTACAGCTGCCTGCTGTTTTTAGTGTAATTCTTATATTCAGCATTAACCTCCCTTTGACATCCCAGATACCTCATGACATTCACTAATTCAGAGGAATCCCAATGTTCCTCCTGCCAATTATTCCCTCAGAGTAAAGAGTCTGTCCCAATCCAGCTCCAGAAAAATCAGTGTTTTCCCAATTCCAGGCCCTGGGTATGTACATTATGGTCCTCACAAAACCCCCTCAGGGCTCTGGCACGGGATGGATGTAATTTTTGATGTAAAAATCCTGCTTTTCACCTTGCAGTGGCATCCCCGTTCTCCTGCTTTCTGCACAGCATCCAAAGGTTGACTCGGACTTGCTTTGCTGCAGCTTTTTGTTCAGATGGATGGAACGCTCCCATCAAGGTTGTTTACCCAGTAAATGGATCCCTGAGGAGCTGCAAGGCAAAAATATTCTCCTGGGAGCTGATTTCCTCATGCTTTTCTTTGAGCTGCTGCAAGAACATCCCAGGAAGATGGAGGAGCCCTCCACCTAACACAGCTCTCCTTTGTGGAATGCTCAGTGGAAAAGAGGCACCATTCCAGCATGAACTCCAGTGCATACCAGTAAGGACCAAAAGATAAATACATTCTTTCTCAACAGCCTAATAGCATCCTAAAAATGTGGGGATATGGAGGATCCCTTCCCTTGTTTAATTTGTGTTCTTAATGCTTTTTGAATTTTATGTCTCATTGCTACTTGAACTACAATGCCCTCTTTATTTTCAAGCTTTTGAGGGAGATACTGACTTTTTATTAAAAAGAAGTATTTTTCACTTCTTTCTAATGAAAGCCTCGAGCCTTCTAACCACAGCAGCATTTCTCTAATGAAACTAGCTTTATAAAAATCTATTTTACTCTGTTTGTGTAAAGCCAAATACTTCATGATTTTGATAGCTGCAATGTGTAAAATGTTTCAAGGTGAAATGCAAATTTTGTTTAAAAAAAATCATTAAATAAGAGATAATTACCTTTAAAATTAAAGTCTTTAAAAAATTAACTATTAAGCTTAATGGCAGTTGATGGACCTTCTCCTTGGTATTTTTCTCTAGGAATTTTGATGCCAAGTGCTTCAAGGATGAAGACTTCATGTAATTGCTGTGGGATTCAGGACTGCTGCACTCTCATTCTTCTGACTGTTCAACAAGGTAAAGGCAAGGAAAAAAACACAGTGGAAAAATTCCTGTGCTAATACTGCTGTAAATTGGTTATTGCAGAATGCCAAGGCTGGCACTTGTGTCCTTATCTCAGGGTATGCACAAATACCAAAAATAAGAAATGAGTTTTGTCCCCTTGTTCAGTTTTCCAAAGCACAAATACAAAGATGCCAGAGGAAGAAAAAAATAAAAATCTCAAGAGTCAGAAACATTAGCTGACTTTATAAGGATAAAACCCAGTGTATTTTGTGGATTGCGTTTTAGTCTCTTCTTTCTGTTTATTTAATAAATTTTCTGTTGATTTAATTTACTGAATTCTGATCCTCTGGCAGAACTTCAAGTTTCCCAGCCTTGAGGAAATTTCAGCAGCTGTTCCTCAGCACTCAGAGCTCACTTGGGGCCCTGGGCTCACCCATCACCCCAGAGCACAGGAAACTCCCACCTGGGGGGCTGAGCCCCCCTTGGGCAAGCAGGGAAGAATTCAAAACCCTTCTGGGTTCTTTTGCAGCATTTTGAGATCATTTTGTCCTGGAAATGCAAAATTGCTGCCTCTGCATTCCCAGGGGCTGACTGCACTCACTGTGGGCACACAGAGTTCCTCCTGGTAGTAATGCCAGCATTTATAAATGCAGCACTAACATGGCATCTATTTAAAAAAATAAACAGAAAGGTTCTCTCCCTCTCTCTCACTTTTCCTTTCAGATTATCTGAATGTTTAATTGGACTATGATAAGAAGACAGGATCTGGAAGTGAAAGATGAACCCACTTCATTCAAAGAAATCAAGATTTTTGCTGTCTGTTGCAGTCTGTATGTTCATCTACACCTTCATTTACCTAAAGGCTCCACTTTATGACGAGTCAAATGACCAAAAATTCCGTGTCAAAAGAGCAGAGTGTGGTTTTTACCCGGATGAACTTTGCTCAGCTCTTTTTGTGGGGAAACCTGCAGCCTTTAAAATTGGAAACTTTTGTCAGAAGTCCTACCAGCCCAAAGCACTGAGCTGCATTCAGACTTCCTGCAGCTGCTCCACGGTCCTGAAGACTCTGCATTTTATCACCAGGCCACTGTCAGAGGAAGAAGGAAATTTCTCCTTGGCCTACATTATTACAATTCACAAGGAGCTGGAAATGTTTGTGAGGCTGCTAAGAGCTATTTATATGCCTCAGAATATTTACTGCATCCACATTGATGAGAAGTCACCCAGAGATTATAAAACTGCTGTACAGAACATAGTAAACTGCTTTGAAAATATTTTTATTTCCTCAAAAAGAGAACATGTTGTTTATGCAGGGTTCTCAAGATTACAAGCTGATATTAATTGCATGAGAGACCTCGTTAACTCCAAAGTTCAGTGGAATTATGTTATTAATCTGTGTGGTCAGGATTACCCCCTGAAAACAAATAAAGAAATCATACAATACTTAAAAAGTAAGTGGAATGGTAAAAATATCACTCCTGGGATAGTCCAGCCCGTTCATGTGAAGCACAGGACAGAGGTGAGCTACAGGGAGTACATCCATTCTGGGGTGCCCTACGTGTACCCAGCAAAGATCAGGAAAGCTCAGCCTCCACACAACCTGACCATTTATTTTGGCAGTGCCTATTACATCCTCACCAAGGCCTTTGTGGAGTTTACTCTGAGTGATGCCCGAGCAAAAGCTCTGCTGGAGTGGTCCAGGGACACCTACAGCCCTGATGAGCACTACTGGGTCACCCTCAATCGTTTACCTGGTAAGAGTTGGCCCTTTGTGCCACAAAAAACCCCAGCAGGGAGAGGCTCTGAGCTCCAGCCCTGAGCTGAACAGCTCTGAATTGCAGAAATCAAATCATTTCTTCAGCTTTGGTGCTGCCCTTCTCAAAAGTCACATCTGGTGGCTGAGAAACAAAGCTTGCTTGTAGGAAATTGTTACTTCAGTGCAGACCAGGAGTTAGAAAAATTCTGGTTAAAAGTTTTCTGCTGCATGAAAGCTTTTGCTCTCAAGGAATAAAAAAAAAGCAGTAACAGTAATATCTGTTCTTATGATACAAATATCTGCAAATAAATACTTAAAGTGACTGCAGTTAGAAAGTGTCCAGCAGTGAAAACCTTCCCTGTAGTAAGCAGAAGAGAGACTTATCAGAGCCTTTTGTTTTTAAAGATGCTCCAGGGGCTACACCCAATGCAGGCTGGCAAGGAGACCTAAGAGCCATTAAATGGAAAGATCAAGAAGGACTCTCACACAAAGGCTGCAAAGGTAAAGTGAATTTTGATCATGAACTTAAATTTGATTTGCTGATGAGCATTAATTGGTTATTATGTATTATTTAAACTAGCTATTAAATGTGCCTCAGTGGTCATATATAATTTATTTTGGAAGTATTAAATACAACGAGGCATCCTATAAATTACTGCACTCTATCCAATTAAAGAGATATAGGTTATATTAATGCATTAGTTACATATTGTCTATGTTTTGAGATGAGCACAGTAACCATACACTGACAACCCTTCTTTCAGCCCCTAATTACTAATGCACTAATTATATTAATTACATATTATATATATTTTGAGATGAGCCCAGTATCCATACACTGACAACCCTTCATCCAGCCCCTAATTACCAATTACACTAATTTGGCTGATCAGTTCTCAGAGGAGGGGCTTTACCTACAAGGATGTTTCTCAGGTGCTCCCATCAACATTGGGTTAAATCCCTACAGTCTGAACAGCAATAAAAACCAATCGTGCTGAGCACGTGGAAAGCATGCAGAAATCATTAAAATGAAGTGTACAAGCTGAGCCCAGGTGTGACTGAGCAGGGAATCCTGAGAGAGGAGATCACACCTGATGCTCAGCTACCAGATTTTATTAAGCAGAGCAGTATGGCAGGGAAGCAGCTGGAGGTGACAAACATCCATTTATGTCAAACACAAACCCTTGTGTTTATAATGTTGTAGGATTATCCTCCAGCTCGATTTCTACGCAGAAACCAAAACTCTTTAAAAAAAAAAATGTTTCAGCTCATCCTCCCGCTGCTGCCACACCTCTCTCCCAATTTCTCTCTGCAGGTCGCTACGTCAGAGACATCTGCATTTACGGCCTGGGGGATCTGCAGTGGATCATCGAGTCCCCTCACCTGTTTGCCAACAAGTTCGAGGCGGGGAGGGAGCCGCTGGTGCTGGAGTGCCTGGAGAGGCGGCTGCGGCTGCAGGTGCTGCGCCAGGCTCAGGTGCCCATCGAGCAGCACTGGCGCCTGCAGCAGTGCAGCCACTTCGACATGCAGCTGGCTCCTGAGCCCAGCCCTGCCCACAGCAACGGGCAGCGTGCTGGTGGGGAAAAATAATTCAAAAAAAGGATATTTACAGCCACGGGATTCACTCTGTGCAGCCAGGGTATAGCACAGTGCTCCCTAAATAAACGGGGTTTGTTTATTCCTATAGCAGTGGGTTAATTCCCAAAGAATCGCTGCTGAAGACAAGGGGGGAAGTTCATCATCCATGAAGTGACTTATTCAGCTGGGAAAGTCAATATTCCTCACGTTCACAGCCAAAGCATGGCTAACCGGCATGAAAATAACAAAGGATGCAGTGACTGAAGCAAGGTAAAATATGGAGAAATAACAAATTTAAAGTCGTGGCCACTGAATGTCTCATGAAATGCTTTGAATAATGAAGCTGATGCTAAAATTTCAGAGCTTGTACATAAGTGACAACCAGTTTGTGACACAGCCCGTGCCACTGGGGGGTGTGGGTTTGGTTTTATTTCCCATGGCCAGCTGCATCCCTAATTTCATTTTGTAGCATGGCAACATCACTGCTGCCCTTCCCAGGCTTTGCTCCTAATAACAGAAGGTTCCTGCAATACTTGTTTATCTCCAGGTCTCTGTTCTGAGTCTCTGCAGGGCAAGGAGACAGGGAAAATTTGAGGCCAGGTATTACAAGAAAACTGAGCAAAAAGCCATTTTTTAAGCATTTTTCCATCCTAGTGTACCTGAGAGAATTAAACAGCGTGCAGCAACACCTGGACAACACACTAGATTTAAAACTGCAAATTATAAATAAAAATTAAATGAATAAATAAATAAAAATTTTAAAAGGAACAATTTCAATGTCATCTTCAATATGCACCCAAAACACCCCTGAGCTTTTACAAGAACACTGGTGACAGATTGAGCTTATTCCTAAAAAATTCAAATGACCCAACAACAGGACATGAAAGTTTCTTGTTACAAACTTATTCCCAGGTTGCTGGAACTTTACTCCTCATTTTCCCACACAAGTTTATTGGAAACATCATTTCTTGCAAATGAACTTTAACCTAAAGAAAGGCCATCTGGTCCCTATTTATTTACAAACTCAGCCCAAAGGCGTGTGCTCAGTTTCATGGATAATCCAGGACTTATCTTGTGCCTAAATATTGCTGCAGATAGTTTTGTTTTTTTTTAAGAAGGGAAATAAAGCTAAAAAAGAAAAGGAAAATACAAGCCAGGCACATGTTTTTGCTGAGCTTTTTGAGAGTCTCTCTCCAAACCATTAGTGAAGCTAATGGGTCTCTGGCATGGATTAATGATAGCAATATTCATAATTAATTTCTGTCCAGTCCACTGTAGGGCACTGCCAGGATTTATCCACTCCATGATGTCTTTTAAAACAGACAGTTCCTTATTGCCATCACTGCAGCAAATCCAGTCTCCAGCTTTCACCCCTGGCACCACCACACTGAACAATTGTTATACATCACTTCCAAATTGAATTAAAATGAAAAATTCAATAGCCAGGCACTGTATATCATGGGCTCCTTTTGCAGAAATTAAACCAGGCAAAAAAACCTGCACAAAAAGGCCTCTGAAAATACAATTTTGGTATGACTAGACCCATGTCAGCCTAGGAATATCTCTGCAGCATGACCTTCTTTGCTTAAAGGATTTTGTATTTGAAACAAATTTTAGGAAAATCATCATTAAACCATTATCAAGTAAGAAATAGTATTCAACTCATTATTGTGATTTCCATGACCACATCACCTCCTTAAAACACACATGAAAAGCCTTCATGGATTCTGTGTTATTATGTTAAGAGTTGATCAATCACAACTTTCAGACCTCAGCAAGTATTTGTGCATTTTGGTGCCCTAAGAGCAGAAAATGCCAAAGTGACCCTGGTTCCAGGAGCCACTGCTGCACACACAGCTCTGGATCTGACAGCCAAAGGCATAAATTCTGTTTCAAAAAGCTCCATATCTAAATTAAACATGAGGTTAAGGGTTTGATATGGCACAGAGCTTAATAGGGCACTATTTGAAGTCTGTGTTTAGCTGACTCTGAAAACAAGTCCAAAATAAACTTTGAAGTGATCCAAGAAAGTACATTATAAAAGTAATCTTATCCTTAACTTTCAAAGTGACTCCCAGAAGGACTTCCAGCAGCAATTCCATAACCTCTATCCTGTCCCCACACCACTTCTAGCATATTTTATATCCACAGGAACTTCTTAGAGAGTCAGCTTCCAAATTGAAACAAAATTTCTGTCAAATAGCAGACACCAAAAACTGCCCATGCAAGAACCTGCAAGCCACTTGGAACAAAAAATTCGAAATATTTGGGCACACCAAAATCCACAGACCTGCACAGATCACCACAGATTTGCCATCTCCAACATCCCATCAGATCCACAAAGAGGCAGTAGAGAGAGTCTTGCTTGTTCTTTCAATTTTAGGCTGTTGGACAATTAAACCTTGCTCCAAAGTGCAAGTTTTAAACTGACAGGTTCTGTCACAAATGGAGCAGGAAGCAGCAGAAATGCCAACCTGCAGAGCTGCTGCTACAGATTCCACATCTGGAAGCAAAGTTCTTTCTCTGCCTGCTGACTGAAGTGTGACTAAAGTCACATTTTAGCACATGACAGTGCTGAGAGTTTAAATTTTCCCTTACTGATCAAAAGCTCAAAAATATGGCTCAAACTAAATCCACTTCTGTAAAAATGTTTTACAAGATGTATTTGCACTCCTAAGTTGCTCTCTTTCAGACAAAAGCTCTTTTCCAACTCTTTAAGTGGAAGCTACAAAATTTGTTGCCAGCACTTCATCTACCAAGCCTGCTCTCCAAGCAGCACTGAAGAATTCTCACTGCTCTTCCAAACAGATCTTTGAAAGCCAAGAAGTTTTATATTTTGGCAAGACAGTTCAAAGCATTTACCCTGCAGGCAGTGAGAGACAATCTCTCTTTTCTCCCAACACTTCTCCAGTGTCTGACTGGTCCTTTGGCTTAAAATTCTCACATTTCAATGTTTTTCTTTAAGGTGAACCCTTCCAAATGCTACTCAGGATGTGAAGAAAGACCAGCTTCTTTTCAGTTCATTAATTAAAGATTCCAATCTGAGCACATATAATGCACAATACTTCATTTTTTCTTCTTCATTCATTAATTTTCCTGTAAGTCCCTTTCCTGCAGAAATGCAGAATGTGCTGCTAATTAGTGCTTTAAATAAACAAATTGTGAGATACCAGGAGGCACAGAACCATCTCCCTGTGCTCCTGTTTAGAAGAGTTCTACTCCCCTTCTTGATTCTGAAGAGAACTACATCAGAATACACCCAAAAATCACCAAATCACTCCGACCTTCATCACTGTTCTCTCAGCTGGTTACCACTGCCTTTGTGCATCAAAATCCAGTCATGAGAGGATGAGAGACTAAATATTATATCCATTTAATTATTTCTAGAAGAATCTTTCTGAATATTGTGAAGAATTTCCAGCTGCATGCTAAATACTCATCACTGAATAAAAGCCAGGGAAAAATATGTGGGGTTCATTTGGTTTTTTTAAGATTATCAGACTGGTCAAACCATGGACAAAACATCTCATTCCTGCATTTTATGCTCTGGTTACACCCATCCATCAACAAAAATTTAGATGCAAAACAACCCTCATTAAAAATAAATTAGTATCTGCCAAGAGGAAACAAAGCCATTAGGACAGAACAAAATGAGCACTGAAAGGAGCAATAAGAGATTAAACCTTACAAGAACCAACAATGTACCAAGACAAAAGTTTTCCCTTCCCAGGTTTTGTCTGATATAAATATAATCCATATTTTATCCAATATCTGGGTGTTTAAAGCAATTAAATAACTGCCCAAATGTGGCAACTCTCACCACAAATCTTGCTGATTTTTGCTAATTTTATCATTTAGGGTATTTGCTCCTTTTTTCATTGCTCTTAGCTACAAAAAAACCTGTACAATGACATCAGCTATGTGAAATGAAGTCAAAAATATAAAAAAGCAACACCCAATGAACTTTAAAAATATAGGGGTCAAAACATAATCTGACATTACAACCAATTTAACCAGAGAACAATTACTGATAAAACACAAGCCATGTGCATTCAGGAAGAAAAAAAACAAAACAATCATCCTTTTAAAAACTAAAATTAGGACAAAATATTGGGAATAAATGGAAATTCTAAAGTAGTTACTGCAAAATAAAACTCTGAGAACAAAAATACTTATTTTGATAATTATTTAGAATATTTTTTTAATTAACAAAGGCCATGAAGAAATACTTGAGGCCATCATAGAACAGAACTTTTACAAGTTCCACTTCAATTTGCATATTCAGATTAAAAACTCCCTTTTTAGAGCAGTGAGTGCAATTGGATGAACACACGCATGGCCCAACTGCTTCTACAGCTGGAAAAACTCACCTTGTGACAAACTTCTGCTTTAATTTCTTTGAGAGCACGCTCAGAGAACACACAGCCACAGTTTCTCAGGAAGCAAAACCTTCAAAGAAAACACATAATAATTTTAAGAAAACTAAGAGAGATCTGTGCAGTGCTGCAGGTCACAGCCCACCTTCTTTACAAGTTTTTGCATCTCATTAAACTATCAGCATGGTTAAGTAGGTAATTAATTTATTATTAATTCGCACAGTGTAAGAATTGAATGCAAAACACTGGGTACTTTAAAGCACAATAGGTATTTTGGGTTTTTATCTTGAGTATCTTCTGGCTAATCCCTCTCTGGAGGAAGAAAGTCTTTACAACCATTAAGCTGTGAACTCCTCACACAAAGAACTTGCTGCTCTGCCCAAACCAGGCTGGGAGGGAATTCCCTGCCCCAGAGCAATAAAATACAGATATACTGCAGGGCTGGAACAGAGAATCCATCTCCAGTCTGACCTAACACAGGGAGAGACAGAATGTGAGGAAAGGCTGGGAGGGCTGGGATTGTTCACCTGGAGAGGAGAAGATTTGGGGTGAGCTCAGCGTGGCCTTGCAGGGCCTGAAGGAGCTGCAGGAACCATGGAGAGAGAGTTTGGACAGGGATGGAGGGACAGCACACAGGGAATGGCTTCAAAGTGACAGAGAGCAAGGCTGGATGGGATATTGGAAGGAATTGTTCCCTGGGAGGGTGGGAAGCCCTGGAATGGAATTCCCAGAGCAGCTGTGGCTGCCCCTGGATCCCTGGCAGTGCCCAAGGCCAGGCTGGACAGTGGGGCTTGGAGCAGCCTGGGACAGTGGGAGGTGTCCCTGCCATGCAGGGGTGGCACTGGAGGAGTTTTAAAGGTCCATTCCTACCCAACCATTCCATGATTCCCACAGCTTGATGTGACTCAAGGGGAGTTCACATCCCACCTCCTGTGCTTGAGCCTCCAAACAACCTGTAGTCACTTCTTCCCTGCCAACACTGCTCTCTACTCCTTCATTATATAACCCTTTCCTGAATAAATGTGGATAACTCTTATCTTTCCTCTTGAATATAACGTGAAAGGACACCCAGACGTCTCTTGAACTCTGAAAGACAAGACAGCTATTCCCCACCAAGCCCTGGGAGAGCAGAGGATTTGCATTTTCCATTCATTTTTCCCTGCTCTGTGCCCAGCCCTGAGCACCAACCTGTGCCTGCCGTTCATCTCCAGCCCCACCACGGGGCAGATGAAGCGTGCACACTGCAGGTCATCGTACTTGTCCCCCTTGATGCTCTCCTTGTCCCCACACCAGGCTGGGTTATCCACCAGCTGCAGCTCTGTCACATTCTGCAAATAAAAACACAAACCTGGAGCTTTTTTTCCTCGTGGTTTACGAGCCATGATAACAATCCTTAATATTTTTTTTCCATTGTGTTTTGTTATTTCAACAATTTAACCCATAGTGAGAGCACAAGCAAATGGAGATTTTACAGCATAACTCATGAATTTAACATTTTATTTTAACTTCTCATATTAAACACAACCTGTTTACCTTAATGCTCTTGATATGGGATGCAGATTCCATGGGGGTTTTATCAGGGGATTTGTCCAACAAATATTCAATGACGGCATCTTTGTTGTACAACCTGTAACACAAAAATTCCAGTGATTATATTGGGTTTCCATCATGTTTTGTATCTGTAATTTATGTGTACTCCTGAGGTGTCCATGGAAACATCCCCACCTGCCCAGCTCACAGGCCACGATGGGCCGACGTAGCTTCTCCTGGCTCAGGGCACAGTAGAACCACCTGGCCACCAATTCAGCAACTTTGTCAACCTGGAGGGAAAAAAAACCACTCATTATTTAAAAATATACGTGTGTTTAAGCATAAAATCAGGTCATACATGAAGCATTCATCAAATCCCAGGTTTCTTACCAAACCTGCTTTGTGTACTTGAAGTTAATTCATAAAATAACTTGAGCAAAATATTTTGGCAAAATTAATTTCTCCAAACCTCGCTGGGCAGTTCCAATTCCTGAGCGCCTTTTCCATGGAGAAATTCCTGCTCGTGTCCATCCTGAGCCTCCTCTGCCCAGCCTGAGGCCGTTCCCTCTCCTGTCCCTGTTCCCTGGAGCAGAGCCCGACCTGGGGCTGTCCCCTCCTGTCAGGGAGTTGTGCAGAGCCACAAGGGCCCCCCTGAGCCTCCTTTTCTCCAGGCTGAGCCCCTTCCCAGCTCCCTCAGGAATTCTCCAGCCCCTTTCCAGCTCCATTCCCTGCCCTGGACTCGCTCCAGTCCCTGCAGGGCTCTCTGGCCACGAGGACCCAGAACCGGACACAATATCCGGGATGAACCGGGCCTCCCTCTCTCCGCAGCCCCCTACCCATCATGGAATCCCCTCCAGACCTTCTCGACTTTGCGGGGCCCCTTGACCAGTTCGTGCCGCTTGGGGATAGTGCCGCCATCGCATCCCATGGCGCTTCCGGGTTCTCCTTCTGCGCACTTCCGGATTTAGACGCCACTTCCGGCGTGCAGCAATGACGCTACTGCTTAGCAACGATCACTCGGCAGCCATTACTGTTGCTTAGCAACAGGTGGCTGGGGGCGTGGCCATGGCCCGCGGGCGGGGCGGGCTGGGCGATCCCATGGCGCTGGGACCGGGGGCACAGGGAATGTACCAACTCAGCGCGGGGGCGTTCCCAGCGCCTTTCCCACCCCTTTCCCGCAGCTTTATCCCTTATTTTTATGAGGAAATCCCCCGGGACAGCCACTTAGGGACGATTTACGGCCCAATGTGGCGCTGGCAGGGGCGCTGAGGAGGCGCGTCCCGCCCTCAGCAGTACCACGGGTGGTACGGGTGCGAGTTTAATGCGCACGAACTCCCGGCGGGATGCGAGCGCTGCCCTGAGGGTGCAAACAGCGATGTCGCGATGATGGTGACCCATGTCGGCGATAAATGACGCCGGGAACACGAGGGTCACAAGGAGAACTCCAGCGAGAGGATGGCGAGAGGGGAGCGGGTCCCCATGGCGCTCTCGCCGCTCCTTGTCCCTTCTGAGGGCGGACATCGCCAGGCCTTGGCATTGCGGGTGCGAGCCGGAAAACAAATTAATCACCAGAGCTACAATTAGCGCGGGTGTAGCCGCAGTGGTTTTGTCGCATCCACAAATGTTCACGTCCGGGAAATTGGGGGATAAAGTTAGAAAGCTCCGAGCTCTGAGGGCTGGGATGGAGCCCTGGGAGCTTCCCCAGTGCCGGGTGAGCTCGCTGGGATTCCAGCAGGGAATAACATTTCCAGCTATGGGAAGAGCCTGTCCAAAGCCTCTGCACGTTTAATGATTGAAAGATTTTTTTTTTCTTCTTTTTTCCTAGCTGGAGAAATGCTCTGAGAACTCCAGCCTGTGACAGAGGATGATGTGCTCCCTGTAGATTTATCAGGATTCTTCTCCCAAAGTTTTCCTCTGTGCTCAGGTACCAGCCTGGCACATTTCCTATTGATCGGATTTTATACCGTGTTGGATTTGTTAAAACCAAAAATTAGCTTTGCAGCTGTTTAAAAAAAACAACAAACGAACCAAAACAGCCCTGTAATTACAAATTTTGCATAAAGTCCTCAGGAAACAATCGATATTGGGATATCATAAGTTACAGAACATTGTGCAGCTACATTTAAAGAGAGACTTTACACAAATAGAAAACACAAAAAGGAAAATACATTTATCAGACATACATAGATAACAAAACAAGAAATCAGTCCGATAATCAACAACTTTTGCTCCAATACACAGCAAACATCCCCACCCAGCCACTGTGGTGATGACATTTCCAGGCAGGATGTGAAAAGTGGAGAAGAAAGTGCAGATTTAATTCTTCTGCATCAGCTGCTGTGGGGATCTTCACCTGCA